GCAAGGAAGCCAGTCAGTGAAAATGTAAATTGAGGCATCGGGGGGTGAGAGACAGGCTGGGAGGAGGGGAGGGAATTGGTGGAAGGCAGCTGAGAGTTGGAACTGGAGCCCCGTGCACTGGGGTAGGAGCCGCCCAGCTGCAGCTTCCCCCGCACTACCTGCTGCCCAATGCGGTGTTGATGCCTTGACTTACCTGTTCCAGGGTGTTAATATTAATCTGTGCAGGGAGGTTAATTATTGCCTGCATGTGGATCACCTGCACTGAGCTCTCAGTTACTTGTTCTATGTTTTGCAATCCCTTGAAGTGGTGCAACATGTTGATTGCAGGTCATTGTATATGGTTTTGCATACCAATTTTACTGTAAATATTTAATGTGTCATGTTCATTATTTTATTTTTGTATAGCAATACATTTGTATATAGTTAAGTGCTTTGTCCCGGTCTGGCTCTATAGAATAGAAAAGAGGGAACTGCTTCCTGGTGGCAGGCCCCTCTCACAGCAGTCTTGCCTGACCACCCCATCCCTTCCACTTGTGGACAGGGAACACCCCTGGATGTACCCGGGCTACAGCAGGTTAGTCTAAGATGCAGAAATTAAACTGAGAAACAACTGGACAGACACTCATGTTTGACTCAGAAAATGTAGCCGCATACCTGCAGTAGCTCAGGCCAGAAGCTGGGTGTGCTACAGCACAGCTCTCTGGTACACAGCCAGCATGGGCTGTGTGTTTGGTTCCTCTACCTGCTGCCCCTGAGATCTCTGGGATTTGCAGCCTGGACTCACACCAGCAGGACTGTGCATAGTTGCAGATCACTTTTTCTTTCTGCTTCAAGGTGCCTCTTGAGATTTGAAGTCCACAGTCACAGCAGGTGGTAAGTTTTTAGCAGGGCAGCTCCATACTTGGGGCAAGGGATGTTTAATCTTTCTCCCTGGCTCCAGGCCCCAGCCAGGGTTTGCTTGGGGGGGGGGGGCGCAGTCCCTGCCTTCTTCTCCCCACCCCAGCCTGCCCCAGCCCTCCTCTGCTGGAACAGACAGCCCAGCCCAGGGCTGGAAATCATGCTGGGATGCTGGAGGACTGTGATTTAACTTGAACCAGGAAGGGGTCTAAGACAGAAGTTTCATAAACCGGTATGACCCAAATCAGTCTGATACTACATTCAACCAGGTTTATCTTAAACCCGTTTCAGCCATTTTGAAGCCAGTTTATGTTCACTGAGCTTCTGTTCTGTTATAGGTTTAAAACAGTTTCTGATTACTTAAACAGGGTTTGTGTGTAACTTCTGTCTGTAGCCTTGTTGTGTAGCAGTTAGTGTCTATACAGCATTTCATTTTAAATGAAATTATGGGCCTTGCAAGTTTATAGAGACTGGTTTTAAGGAAACTCTCCTCAGTGCAGGAACCAGTGTTGTGGGGAAGGTGCTGCCTCCTGCGTTCTCTTCAGTCTGCCCTCCTGCCTGAGAACTTCAGTTTTGTCACCCAAGGATTCTTCCCACACCCAGGGAACATCACAAAAAGACTGAGCTGGAGTCTGGGCAAGACCTGTCTGTGCTAGCTGTGCAAAGCAGAGCTGTATGATTCCAGAGGCCTTATTTAAACAGGCTGCATAAAATGAGAATCTTTTTTCCCGTTTTTTTTCTTCCTTCACTTTCCCAAAATTTTCATCTTGTGTCTGTTTTCAGCACAAACTCCCCTTCTTAGCATGCGAGTTATACCACTTGGACTCCTTTATGTTCCCGTACACAGAATGTGGCCAAACCCAGAATGTGTAAGCCTGAGGGAGCCAAGTTCCATATTACTGTGCACATATGGAGCTAAGTGAGTTGGAGAGGTCTCAAGTCTATGTCGAGACTTGACTTGGTGCCAGGATATGAATAATACTTTGATTTTATTAGGTCATAGTGAAACGCAGCCCAATTTTTTTTGCAGAACCCCCTTCCCTCTGTCCCCCCCTACCCTCCCCCCCGGCCAAGAGTCAGAGGCCCTCTCAGGTTATGGTTTTCATATCTTACGGAGGGCTCTCATCTCTTATGGGTGGGAGGGGGTCTCAGTCCCCCAAGCTCTCCCGTAATTGAACCCCTGCTTGGTGCTAACTTGGACATTCTCAGATCACTGGTGAACTTTACAGTCTGTCCTCATGTTTACAGAATTACCATCAAGCAAAACAAATGAATTGTTAAACTGTTTGCAGCTGACAGCCAAATATTTTCTTATAATGCCACATTTCAGCTCATTCCATAAAGTATTAAGATGCTGTCTCAAGATTTTTTAAGTTAACTTATCAAAAACTGAAACTCCAGAATTCAGCTGAAAGGATGATTTTGACTTTTGATATGCCTTGTTAAAATTAGCCTTTCCCCTCTCTGCTTTGATATACCACAGCACCAGTGGTGGATTAAGGTGTATTGGGGCCCTAGGCAAACACAAAATTGGACCCCCCCTCCCCCTATGGGAGCTGGGCTGCAGACGGGGGGTAGAAGGGCCCCTTCCCCTTGTGGTGCTGGCAAGGGGACCCTGGGTGGACCCCTCTGGGCTGGGGGTGGAGGAGCGCGTATGCTCATCTTTTCTCCCTGCACCCCGCTCCCCCTCTCCCCAACCATGACCAAACATACACACACACACACGTACACATATGGGCACACACAGATGGGCGCACACTCTACTCTCACTCACTCTCTGCACATAGACATACAGAGACAAATGCAGTCCCTGCCATGAACACACACACACACACACACACACACACACACACACACACACACACACACACACAC